CACACACACACACACACACACACACACACACACACACACACACTAATAAATAAAATATTAATTGCTTACATTAGCTGTTATATTCCTATGAGTCTGTGGTAGGCTTTTTAAAAAAGGATAGTTTCTCAGATATGAGAAGAATGTTCAGCAACTTTTGCATACTGAAATGATTACTTCCTAACAAGACTAGGACAGGCTATATCAAGTTTAATGAGATATAAAACATGGATTATAAATTTTTCAGCAATTTTCATTTAGAATAAGCTTATCTAATAAGATTAGGTTGCTAACATTTTTAGATTTTTTTTTCCTAGCAGCCTTTTCATGATTTAGCAAGAAGATGGTTCTTTTCATGGACAATGGAATAGATTACAGCTGTTATATAACCATTTCTTGAATCTTTATCAGGCCAAGAACTCACTATTACGCTAGATGAAAAATAAAAAGTAGGAACTGACCTTTCTACCTTGTAGATAGAAACTTGTTTATAAATTAGATGGTAGAGTAAATAATTGTAGTATTAAGTAGAGTATCTTTACTGTATAGTTTTTTGAATTGGACAAAACACATGTCTGTTTAGGAGTCTGGATTTGTGGGAATTAGATGGCAGTTAAGGGGATTTTCTATTCCTGTGTTTACTTCCCACTTGTAATGTTAGTAGTCATTGACTTACAACAGTTCATTTAGTCACCATTTAAAGTTACAATGGTACTGAACAAAGTGACTTATGACTGTTTTTCACATTTACAACCATTTCAGCACTTCCATGGTCACGTGGTCAAAATTCAGATGCTTGGCAACTGACTCACATTTAAGACAGTTGCAGTGTCCCAGGGTCATGTGATCATCTTTTGTAACATTCTGACCAGCATAGTCAATGGGGACGCCAGATTCATTCGTTTAACATCCAAGTTACTAACTTAACTGCAGTAATTCACTTAATAGGTTTGGCAAGAAAGGTTGTAAAATGAGGCAAACTCACTTAACAAATGTCTCATTTAGCAACAGAATCTTTGGGCTCAATTGTGGTCATAAGTAAAAAAACTACCTGTACTCTGAATTCCATTATTTGGGGTAAAGTTTAAGAATGTCATTACTTCTACCAGAAGAATCTTAGCTTAAATAAATTAACACAAAATCAATAGGGAAGATGGGGGATGCTTTTGATTTTTATTACATACGTATAAAATTGCTTAAAGTCTTCTGAAAAATAAACATAATCTAAACTGGAAGAATTTATGATCAAATGTTTCATTAGCCAATTAACTTTACAGCGAACTCTTTTTTGGCAGAGAACTGCACTCTAAATTTCAAAGAAGTATAATACTAAATAACAGCAATGCATTTATTCATAGAACTCCATTTGTGTTAAAATAGAAATCCAGTGTACATTTTATTTTATCTCTGAATTTAACTTTTTATTGGTTGTGCTTCTATACCACATTAAGCCATAATGTGATTTCCATGCTTAAATCCAGTCATGATGCACATTGAACATTATGTATCCATGATCTAATATGGTATAAAATTATACAAATTAAGGTTTTTTTCAATGGAATTGGACCATTTCATTGATAGATACTTTTTATTATTACTCTAGAACTGATGCGCCAGTTGCCGCTACTAACTGAGAGACAGTATATAGCAGCAATCCATACACGCCTTCAGGAATCTCGGCCTTGGAAACTACCAGGACTTCAAGCTACTGTTAGGTTAGCTTGGGCGCTAACTTTGCGTGGAATTTCACACATCTCTGATGTGACAGGTAAATTTGATTAAAAGTGGTATTTAGTCAAGGAACCTTCATTTCAATGAAGGAAGCAAATCTGCAAACATTCCACTGATTAAAATGGCAGCGCTAACTGATATTTCCTATGAAGTATGGATGTGCTGTGACATTGCTTCTTCTGTTCTTTCTTCTTTGCAGCATTTGCGGAATTCACTGAAGCTGATGAAGCAATGGCAGAATTAGCAATTGCAGACAATGTTTTTCTATTCCTCACTGAATCTGTAGTGAGAGCAGAGAACTTTTATCAGGAAGAATTTTACATCCGTAGAATCCACAACCTTATCACAGATTTCCTTACCCTGATGCCAATGAAAGTAAGTTTCATGGGGAGGGAGCTAAGTTACATTTATCTTGAATATAAATAGATCAAATATTTCAGGGTAATTTCTTTACACAGACTTGAAAAAAGCATGTCTAGTGTTTTAGGAAAGATTTTAAACAAAAAAAATATGATTAAAAATAGAGACATATCCTTCAAACAATATTCAGACATAATTTATCTGTTAGCTGACTATTCATCTAAATATAGGCTTAATTTAAAAAAATCTATAATGATTATATTGAAGATATCTTTCCCAAATATATTAAAATACTTTAAATATTTTTCTTCATGTCTATTTCTTATATAACTAGTCAGAATTTAAGTTCTTTGGAATAAGTCAAATTGTTAATTTTATTAATCTATAGTTATAAATAGTCCTCATTTAATGATTACCTGTTCATTGACTCTTTACAACATTCCTTTTACAATAACTGGAATGTCTTCAATGGAACATACTTGGAACACCCATTTTCACACTGATTTAGGTCACCCTGAAGGCACAGATAAACTCCCAAGTGGCCTCAACAACTCTCAAAGAGAGTGCTAATAACCAGATGACTGCAAGGAATATAAATCCTTCCATTCCCCACCCTCAGTCAGAACTGAAGAAGCTTCTTGGATGAGAATCAAAACATCTTCAAGGAAAAAATAAGAAAGTCCACTTGCCTTTTGAAAAAGCTCCTTTGGGACAATTAATCTTTTGGATTATACAGTAGTGGCCAAAATTCTGAAAACCTTTTGATAGAAGTGTACAGTGTTAGAATATTCATGAATGGGAGAGACATGGGAACAATGTCAGCCAATGAATAGGCATAGCAACTAAGTCAGCCAATGGGAGCTTAAACAGATCTGAGTCTGTGCAGAGAATTGAAACAGAAACTTAAGCAGTCTGCTGCTCTGAGAAGTAAACAAGCAGTCCGTCTGGGCTTGTCTGCTGAAATGAAACTAACTGCTTATGTTTGCCTCCTCCCTTATGTTTACTTGGAAGAACCACCTGTTGGTATTGTACATTTTTTCCTTTATTCTTATGTATATAAAGAAGTAAATGAATCCAGCTGAATCTGTTATCTGTGTGTGCTTTCTGGATTTAATTTTTGCAACAAACTCTCTCACATACAGTATTTTTGAGGTTTGATGGCTAATAACACCACTTTTTTGGAGTAATACCATAAAATATATATCAATAGAAAGATAATTTAATCAAGAATTGAATGCAATAATTTTTATGATGGATTTGCTATTAGAATAGCAGTTACAAAGAAGAAAAGTGAAGCATGTAGAAAAAAAATGAGATGTACAAAAGTTTTTTTTTATTTTTTAAATGAACACAAACAGACAAAAACGAAAAACACAAAACCATCTTCCATTACAAATTGTAGAAAGTTTGATGGTTGGTTACAAAACTTCCATGCGTCCTTCCACAGTAATCGCCTATAATTCATATCGAATCACATATTTTTAAATCAAGTATGCAGTATTTATTTACATTGCTTTCATCATACCTCAGCCTTCATTTGAC